GGTATGATAAAGTCAACAGGGGAATGCGGTATGAGAGAGGGAGCTCAGGACAAGATAAGGCAGGTCAGGTGTGGACACAGATGGGGAGGGCCTGGAGGCTCAGGTGGCCCAGCATAACCCATCCACAGAACACTGTGGGTCTTTAATTATCATTTTAATCTCCATGTCTTCCATTTCAGTCGTACAATGGGCACATAAAATATCAAGCTCTAATCACAGATTATGAAGATAATAACGTTCCGAAAGCACCAGTTGTATATTTAAGAAAAACCAAAGAACCCAGGAAAAGGTTGACTTTATTTCTGGTTCATTCGGTTGGGTTTGTTTGTTTCCTTTTTGCCTGCATTAAGAATAAGTGTGAGCAACAATTATATCACTAGGGACAAGGCGACTGCCAACCCTAGATGTCAGTTTGCATTATGTCTGTTAGGACCAACTGCTATTTATGGCATCGTCAGGGGAGCTGGGCTCGTATGAATGCCTTGCTTTCCGCATCAATCGACAATAGCTTTTCTGCCAGAGGTGCTAGCAAATAATAAAGTTACTTCTTCTAAAGGTGTGCGTGCGTCCGTTCTTCCATTCAGCACACAGTCCCGGAACGCTGTGGTGTCCCAAGCTCTATAGCAGGCATCAGGAACATGAGCACACCAAGGTAACCGCCCTTAAGTAGCTTGCAGCCTGGTGGTGGCATGGGCACGGGCACATAAATACACCATGAATTGTGCGGTAATGTTACAGAAAAGCATTTACAACATGTCACGGTTGTGTCCAGATGGAAGATTAATGCACTGTGCCTGGGAAACCAGGCGCGGCTTCCTGAAATGGCAGAGATGTGCAGCTGAGTCGCAGAGATTGGTTTCTCATGGTTCTGGAGACTGGAAACCCAACCTCAGGGTGCAGGCTGTAGTGTCATATGAGGCCTTTCTCTTTAGGCCTTTATGGTGACCTCTTGCTGTGTCTTCCTGCAGTCTTGCTTCGCAAATGGGGAGAGAGCGAGGAGGCCAGCTCTCTGGTACCTCTGCTTATAAGGACACTAATCCTGTCATGAGGGTTCCACCCGCATGACCTCCTGTAACCCTACTTACCTCCCCGAGGCCCTCTGTCCACATACCATCACACTGGGGGGTAGAGCTTCTGCACGTGAATTTAGGAGGGACACCGCTCAGTCCTTGACAGCCTGACGTCCTTCCTTCCTCCCAGCTGCACTTCTTATAGTTTCTGTTCAAACGTCACTTTATTGGGAAATCTCTCTGACCTCCTTGTGTACCGGCAGCTCACCAGGCACCCTTCCTCCCACCCCCTTGTCCTGCTTTTTTCTTCTCTTGGTGCGTTTGTCTGTCTGTTGTTTGTACCCTCGTCCCTGCACTAGAGAACAAGAAAGGAAATAGGGAAAAATGAAAGCCATTCAGCTTGCTGGGTTGATAACAGTGTAGTCTGTTTTGTTCGCTGCTGCACCCAACATTCTCAGGGTGGAAATGACAGAGTAAGACCTGATAAACATGTGTTGGATGGACAGATGGATGGATGGATGGACGGACGGACGGACGGATGGATAGGTGGATGGATGGATGGATGGATGGATGGATGGATGGATGGATGGATGGATTTTTGGATGGATGGACAGATGGATGACGGACGGATGGACAGATGGATGGATGGATGGATGGATGGACGGATGGATGGATGGATGGATAGATGGATGGACAAATGGATAAATGGATGGATGGGTGGACAGATGGATGGATGGGTGGTGGTTGGATGGATAGATGATGGATGGAAGGTTTGTTCACCTTGTTACTCCAAATGGTTAATTGTAAATATGCTCCATTTTACTAGATCTCTAAGATGTGCATGTGGTACCGAGCAGAATAGGGAATGTATTATAGCCTCATTTTCGCCGTTCTAGGCAAAAATATATAATTCTGCCGAGAAATGCACCACTGAAGCTTAAAGTTTCAGGGGATAATTTATTAACTTCTCTTGTCCTTCATGGGAAGCAGGGTCAGCTCTACTCAAATTTTCAATAAGTCAGCTCCTGCAAGTTAAGATGAGAAAGTCAGTTGAATCTGGGAAGCCAAATGAGACATTCAAAGAAGGGCATATTAATCTGCATTCTCACTCAAAAACCATTTCTATGCTCTGGTTACACCCAAGTAGAAATTAAATGTGCATATAGACCATGACTAGAAAAGAAAATGGGGAAAATGAACATTTTTGTTTTCTCAGATTAGTAAGATTATTCATGATTTCTTTCCTCCTTCATTTGTTACCTATTATTATTGTTACAATGTTGTTTGTGTCGGTTAAAAAAAATTACCTGTACTGTGAAAAGTGAAATTTGGCAAATGAAAATGGAATTTAATAAAGAATATCTCATTTCCTGTGGGTAAAATTGCCCTGCTTTTTCAGTGTGTAAGAATGCTGCCTGGAAGGCAGTAAGGTGCACCTGTCTTTAAGAAATGATGTAGTGATCCAGAATCACTTCCCTTGAGTGGGCTATGCTGTCAATGCGTGTTTGGTTATCTATTGTCCATTCTCCCACTCAATAATATATACTAAATTGGTTTTCCATGACAAATATTTTCTTGTGCAGTGAACATGCAGGAAGCAGAATCTTTGTCCCCTTTCCAAAAGTCTCTTGACTCCCATTCATTTTCCACCCAGAGGAGCAACTTCACAGCTTTGCATCTTTCTTTTCCATCCTGTATGTGTTCATAGAACTTTTACTGTCTTGGTCATTTTTAAGGTCATTTATTTCCACCTTCCTTTCCGGGGGAGTGGACTTCAGGATCCCTGATAGATGCTCACCATCCCGCTTACTTCCTGGTGAAGCTGCATTTTATTGTTAAGCAATATTAATGGTTGGTAGTTTTGAAGTTATACTGAAACACATCTCTACCTTCCATAGCTATACAGAATAAGTCTCCTCTTTCTTCCATGTGAGGTTCCGGTGGATGAAGATTCTTAAGTATTTGGCTTTTGAGGCTGAACACTTCTTTCAAGCCTTACTTCTTATGATATGTTTTGCAAATGTTTCCATCTTCTGGTCATCTTGGCAGACACTCTCTATTTCGTCTCTGACCCCATTTAGCCTAGACCTAGACATCCCATTGTGGATGCGTTTGGGCTGGGAAAGGGCCCACTGAGTCCCAGAAGGGCTTCTGTCACTGCAATATGGGTTCAAGTGCACCTCTGCTACACTAGTAGCTGGTCAAGATATTGACACAAAGCAAAAGTCTTAGGTGTTTTTCTGCCCATTACCAGTGCATCTAATAGATGCGTTTACATCAGAGTTTAGAGTTCTAGAGTATTATTAAAAACAAGATTCAAAAGAGATCAATTATCCGATCTCATGAAGACAATAAGATTACTTTTATCATTCGGGATCTTGAATAAGGTTTTGTCTTGAGTATTCAAATATTCTGGTTTGAAGATTTAATCTGAGCAGTGTTCAAGGATGTGCAAGAGATTATGTGCGCTACATTGGTTGTATGAATAGTACTGCTTCAAGATTTATGCTTTTCACAAATTTGGTGAATTTTCAAATTTTCTTTGTAAACTTGGGCAAAGTGAAAGGCTGTGGAATCAGCAAAATCTGATCACTGCTCTTTGTTATTGGCCAATGATTTTCTCACATAGAAAACCTATCCAATAAGAAACGAGATCGACTCAGTACAGTGTTTTGTCAGTTTTAAGTGCTAACAAGCCACTTCTTAACAGATTGATTCTAGGTAGCGAATAAGATGGTAGAAATTTATAAACAACTATAAAACTCTTTCTTGCAAAGACCGTAATGGCCCTCAGATTTTTTCTTAGTTTGATGACCTATACAGCCAAAATTGAATATTTGCATGCCAAAGAATTAATTATTTGCCATCCTACAGTTGATATTACCTTTATTTTGATTTGCAAAAATATGCTACATTCTAATGAGCTTTCGGTTTTGAGTGAAGCTGTATTTGAGTTTTGTGTTCTCTACTTTTTGAGGCCATCTCTATTCTACTTCGTCTTGACCTGGAGTTAATATGAGTTATAATTATAGGCACCTTTATAAGAAAGATGTTTTGCGACCTGTGTATGGGCAGAAAGAGCAGTAGACCATTGAGAGTGTGACCATGTGTCTTTATTTGTCCTGGCGAGTCCCAGGTGCTCTTGTATAATTAATGATAATTATTGCCAGTATAAACTATTCTGTTTATTAATTATTATTTTATAAATATTAACCCCTTTGTCTTTCAAAGGATCCCACCTTGGAATGTACATTATATGACCATCCTGATTTGAAAGAAATTGAAAGCTTGGTTTTAGCAGCCAATAAGCCTGATTAGTTTCCTAGATCTAGCCAGCCTGTAGCATACTTTAGCAACATCTCCAGATTCTTCCTCCTGTCCCTGACCCTGCTACAGCACAAACATGGTTCCCTGGTGGAACTGAAATCTAGAATAGGTATAAGTGAGTTACCCAGGGAAGAGACCTGGGGAATCTTGAAGGCTTGTATGAGTTGCTATAGAAGGAAGAAAAGGCTCATGATGGTGGGCAGTGGGTAGAGTTTAGTTAAATGTGGCATGCATTACATACCGAATACATGTGTGAATCTGGTAATAGTGTGGATGTAAATGGGAAGGAAGATGAGAAAGAACTTGGAGCTAGAATAGGAATCACATTGGGTTTGACTCAATGGGGGTTAGTAGGTTGGCTATAAGGAAGAGAGGTGCCCCAGCTGCTGTGTGCTAAGGACCCCATGTGCTTGGTGGTGAGACATTACATTCCCAGGAATGCTGTAAACGTAATATAATACCATATTCATTCTCAAGATAAGGTTTTGTTGGGGTACAGAGATGAGAACAAGAAGCAGAAGGGCGGAAAAAACTAATGATCACTTCAAGGATGAGAGTACGCCTCGCTTGCTGTTTTGTGTCTTGGTTCTACATTTAATGGAATGTATTTATTTTCTTTCCTATTTCACTCACTGGATTTCTCTTTTCTGTGGTTGTTTTTAGGAGCTGGTGGGGAGTAATCCTCCGCAGAGAAACTGGAAGGGAATAGCGATTGCGCTCCTTGTGATTCTGGTCATCTGCTCCTTGATTGTCACCTCGGTCATACTGCTGACACCAGGTACTTACATTTATTCTTGGAAAAGCAAATCGCTGTAAGGGGAAAAGAGCATAGTTTTGCTTTGTGAATTTTTTCTGAGTAACTACCTATTGCATAATTTATTTTTCCCAGGTTCTAATTCTCACTGTGCCATTTTGTTAAATGATATAATATGGTTCAATGAAAAAATCCATTTTGTATGCTTTGAATTTATTTATATAGTTGTTGACTAGGTAGAAATGCTTGGCATATATTAAAATTCATAATTACTTATTCCTGCTTGATGAGCTTAAAGACAGTGGCATTATAAATGTAATAACTCTGTAAATCTCACGAAGTTCATGGCTACTATCTCAAGGATGAATTTTAAAAATTACGAAAATGACATACATCAACTGTGAACTAAGGATGAAGTTACTTATTAGGTATTACTCATGAAATAGCGAAAGTAGAAGAAAGAGTCAGAAATCTCTCAGGAAAGAAAAAACACACAAAAAATCTTTAGCAAAACCCTACCACAAAAATATGCATATACCTGCCTTAATGAATGTCTCCAAAAATAAGGGCTGAGGGAGCTTGGAGGAGAGAGAGAGATCCTTTGTGAGGAAGTTCAAGGAGAAGGCGATCTGTGAAGCAGGCAGTATTGGAGAGTGAGGTTCAGGAAGGAGGGAAGACTTTCTCTGTAAGATAGATACCCACACGGCAGTTATAGGAAAAGTCCGTGACCACATTCTAGTGTCATATTATCTTCCTAGTTGCGTGAACAAAAAACACGGCTCTAATCCTCAGCAGATAAACTGCACAAGTATTAGGCCTTAAGGTGGAAAAAGATGCACAAAAATATAGAAATAGAGGGGCACCTGGGTGGCTCAGTCAGTTAAGCGTCTGACTTTGGCTCAGGTCATGATCTCACGGTTCGTGGGTTCGAGCCCCGCGTCGGGCTCTGTGCTGACAGCTCGGAGCCTGGAGCCTGTTTCAGATTCTGTGTCTCCCTCTCTCTCTGCCCCTCCTGCTCACACTGCCTCTCTCTCTCTCAGAAATAAATGAAACATTAAAAAAAATTTAAGAGAAGAAGAAATGGATGGATGGATAGATAGATAACTTTTACATTGTTACAAAAAGCACAAGTAAACTATGGTGTACATTTAAACCATTCCAAATCATAAACAAAAAACATAAAGTAATCTGTACCCTGAAACCAAAAGTAGATAAAGATATCACAGGAAATCTATAACCAACATTCCTTATGAATATAGATGTAAAAGTCTCAACAGAATGCTAGTAAACTGAATCCAGCGTCATATAAAAGGGAGTTTACAGCATCACCAAATGTGATTTATCCCAGGAAGGAAAATTTGATTTAAGGTATGAAAATCAATGTTATACATATGTATTAATAGAATAAACAGGGAGGGAGCCCACATGACCATCTCAGTAGATACAGAGCAGACAGACATCTGACAAAGTCTAAAATCCTCTCATAGCAAAATACTCAACAAAGCTAGTAAAAAGAAACTTTCTCAATCTGATGAAGACCATGTATGAAAACCTACAGCTAATATCATACCTAATCATACCTCTCAAACCTAATATCATACTTAATATCATATATATCATATCTAAGTGAAAGACTGAAAGTATTTCCCTAAGATCAGGAATAGACAGGATCCTCAGTGCCCCCATTTCTATTTAACATTGTATGGGAGATTCTGGCCAAAGCAATGAAAGCGGGAAGAAATCCTGACAGGAACGAAGTGAACTATCTTCATTCATAGATAATATGAATTTGTATAGACAAAATCTTAAGGGGCACGTGGGTGGCTCAGTTGGTTAAACATTTGACTCTTGGTTTTGACTCGGGTCATGATCTCATGGTTGGTGAGTTCAAGTCCCATATTGGGGCTTTGCACTGACAGCACAGAACCCACTTGTGATTCTCTCTCTCCCTCTCTCTCAGCCCTCCCTGGCTGGCTTTCTCTCTCTCTCTCTCTCAAACAAAATAAATAAAAATATTTAAAAAGTTTAAGAAAAAAGAAAATGGTTCCCCCTGCAATTATTTCAAAAAGAATAAAGTACTTCAGAAAAGATTTAACAAAAAAGGTACAGGCTTTTGCATGGAAATCATAAAATATGAATGAAAGAAATTAAAGAAAACCTAAGTAAATGGAAAGATATCCAATGTTTATGGATTGAAAGATCTAATATTGGTAACACGGCAGTTCTTCCCAAATAGATTTATAGATTCAGTGCAATCTTTAATCAAAATCCCAATTGCCTGTATTGGAGAAATAGACAAGCTGATTCTAAACTTCATATGAAAATACAAGGGACTCAGAATAGCCAAAACAGCCTTGAAAAACAAACAGCTAAGGTACTTACACTTCCTGATTTTAAAACTTACTCTAAAGCTACAGTAATGAAAACATTGTGGTAGTAGCCAAAGTATAGACATATAGGTTAATAGAATAGAATTGAAGTCTCAGAAATAGACCCGTACATCTATGGCCAATTGGTTTTTGACAAAGGTGCCAAGATCATTTGATGGAGGAAGAATAGTCTTTTCAACAAATAATGCTTGCAAAGCTATGGGGTTCTTGGGTGGCTCAGTCGGTTAAGCATCTGACTTCAACTCAGGCCATATCGTGGTTTGTGACTTCGAGCCCTGCGTCAGGCTCTGTGCTGACAGCTCAGAGCCTGGAGCCTGCTTCAGATTCTGTCTCACCTCTCTCTGCTTCTCCCCTGCTCACACTCTGTCTCTCTTTCTCAAAAAATGAATAAACATTAAAACTTTTTTAAAAAATAATGCTTGCAAAACTGAATATCCACATAAAAAGGAACAAAGTTGGAGCCCTGCCTCACACCATATACAAAATCAACTCAACGTGGATCAACAACCTAATCTAAGAGCTGCAACTGTAAAATTCTTTAAAAATTTTTTTAATGTTTTTATTTATTTTTGAGAGAGAGACAGGGTGCTAGTGGGGGAGGGGCAGAGAGAGAGGGAGACACAGAATCTGAAGCAGGCTCCAGGATCCAAGCTGTCAGCACAGAGCCTGACGCAAGGCTTGAACTTATGAGCCGTGAGATCACAACCTGAGCTGAAATCAATGCTTAACTGACGGAGCCACCCAGCACCCCAAAACTAAAATTCTTGAGGAAAAGTAAAGAGCGTATCTTTATGAAGTTGGATTAGGCCATAGTTGCTTAGATATGATATCAAAAGCATAAACACCCAAAGGAAAAAAATAGATAAATTGGACTTCATCAAACTTAAGATTGTTTGACACGAGTAGACACTACCAAGAAAGTGAAAAGACAACACATAGAATGTGAGAAAATATTTGTAGGTCATATGTTCAGTAAAGGTCTAATGTCCAGATTTTATAAAGAATTTTATAACTCAAAACAAAAGAGAAATAATTTAATTAAAAACAACCAGAAGATTCAAAAACATTTATCCAGAGAAATGTATGTGGCCAATAAGTATAAAAAAAGATACTCAACATTATTAGTCATCATGAAATGCAAATCAAACTCGTGGTGTACCCCTTCGTACCCACTAGGATGGCTATTAAAAAAAAAAAAGAAAGAAAGGAAATAATTTAATTAAAAACAGCCAGAAGATTCAAAAACATTTATCCAGAGAAATGTTATGTGGCCAATAAGTATAAAAAAAACATACTCAACATTATTAGTCATCATGAAATGCAAATCAAACTCATGGTGTACCCCTTCGTACCCACTAGGATGGCTATTTAAAAAAAAGAAAGGAAAATAACAGGTTTTGGTAAGGATGTGGAAAAATTAGAAACTTTAAACATTATTAGTAGGGGTGTGAAACTGTGTAGCCTCTGTGGAAAACTGGTAGTTCCTCAAAGAGTTACACATAGACCTAGTGTACAGCAGAGGGATTCCACTCCTAGGAATATACCCAAGAAAACTGAAAACATATGTTCATGGGGAAACTTGCACATGGATGTCACCATTATCCATAAAAGCCAAAAAGGTGGAAACAACTCAGTGTCCATCACCTAGTGAATAGATAAACAAGTATAGTCAATTGTGGTACGTCCATACAATGGGATATTATTCAGCCATAAAAAATGAATTACTGACGTATGCTACCACACGGGTGCGACTTGAAGACATTATGCTAAGTGAAAGAAGTTAGACACAAAAGGCCACATATTGTATGATCCCAGAATGGGTAAATCCATAGAAATAGAGCTAAATCAGTGGTTGTCAGGGGCTGGGGCTGGGGACAGTAGGAAGTAACTGCTAGTAAGTATGAGATTGCTTTTTCTTTTCCTTTTAATTAGAGAAGTTTTAGATTCACAGAAAATTTGAGAGGAAAGCACAGATATTTCCCAGATACCCTCTGTCCCCACACAAGCATAGCCTCCCTGGTTCTCAGCATCCCTACCAGATGGTACATTTGATACAGCTGATGAGCCCACATGAATGCATCACGAGACGTCTTTTGGGGGTGATACAAATATTCTGGAATTTGATAGTAGTGATGAATTCATGCCTCTGTATATTACAAACTACCGAACTGCACACATGATAAAGTAGAACTTAATAGTAAGTGAATTTTATCTCACTTGAGCTGTTTATTGGAATAATGGTGGGAAAATTATTTAAAAAAAGACACTGGTGTCATGTGGCCACATATATACTAAAGTACCATGACAGCTTGCCTACCATTGGAAGAGGTTCAGGTAGCAATTCTGAAAAGGAGAGTGTTGCTCTCTCCTTGAGTGTGCTTTATGAGCACACCAGAGTCGCCTGGGGCACCTGAACTCAGGATTCAATATGGTGCCCCTGATTGATTAGGAAAAAGTTGATTCAGTCACTGAAACCTGACTGGGGGGGAGAGTAAGTAAAGACAACAGTACGTGTTCTAATTTGTGATTGGCTGATGATGATTCGACTTCAGCAACCACATATTTTTAGTTCATGTAGAGGGAGTCAGGTCTCCCTGAGGATTTGTGGGTACGTATTTGTACCTTTGCTTTTCT